CGGCGCAATGGCCCGCCGCTGAGCGGAAGTGACGGAGAGCTTCGATCAGGCGCTAGGTAGGGTGAGCGAGAAGGGACAAGTGCAGCGCGGAGGCGACCTGAGCTCGAGGAGGCGCTGTGGAGACTGAGGAACAGTCGCTCTGAGGAAAGCCAAGATTTGACGCTGCTGACACTGCTGCTGCTACTGCTGCTGGTGTGTGTGTGTGTGTGTGTGTGTGCTGGTCCCCTTGAGCGACAAGTAGAAGTGGCCTTGCTCGCCTCCAGAGCCAGGTCCTTGGTCCCCCGGAGTTCCAGACTGCCCCGCTGGAGTTAGCGTCTGCATTTTGTCCTAAACCTGCAAGTATTCACGACTTTGTTCACCATGTTAAGTCATCCCTCGCCATGACTATGGAAGAAGTAAAGTCACCTCGCCTGGCGATGGCTCAAGTCTATCTACTGTCTGGAGAATGGTGAGTCCCAAGCCACGTCAACCTGGGCTACATAGCAGATCCTGTCTCAAAAGAAAAAAAAACATTTTTCCCCCTGTATAACTTAACGACTCAGCTTGCTCAGCATTCTCTTCAGACAAACGTGAGGCTCAGATCCCAAGAGAAAAAATCTTTTCTAAGGATAAGACAAGTTGGAACCAATGGAGAACTTCGCCAGGGGAAATAGAATAGTAGATGTCAAGGTATTTATTGCGTCCTCACTGTGTGTTGTTAGTATTTCAGAGTTTTGGACAGCCAGAAGCAGCTGCACCATCTGCGAGCTTGTACAGAGGTACAAATTCTGGGGCATCCCATGCCGTGGCGGTGCCTGTTGGCTGTTCCAGCCCAGGTTGGAGTTTTAGGCTGGCCTGGCTACATCGTAAGGTCCTGTGTCACAGCTAACCTGGGTTGCCTAGCAAGGCTAGCATGGCATACAAAGTGAGAAATTATGCCTCAAACAAATGAACAAAAACAATCCCCACCCTCCAGGTGGTGCCATACAGTGTGTTATGCTAAGTCAGTAGATAAAGGAACATCACTTATATGCAGTGAGTTTACAGAGGCAAAGTAATTTGCTTGGATTCACTGACTATTATCTGGATTATTTGGCTCTAAATCCATGTTTTTTTTTACTTGCTTTTTTTTTTTTTTTAAATTTATCTAGACAGGGTTTCTCTGTGTAGCCATGGCTGTCCTGGAATTCACTCTGTAGACCAGGCTGTCCTGGTCTACACAAAGATCTGCCTACCTCTGCCTCCCAAGTGCTGAGATTAAAGGTGTGCACCACCATCACCCACCCACCCCCTTTTTAAATAATTAATTTCACTCCCTAGTATGGGTGTTTTGCCTTCATTGTATGTCTGTGCACCTCTTTGTGTGCCTGGTGCCCAGAAGAGGGTGACATATCTCCTAGAACTGGGTTACAGACAGTTGTGAGCTGCCATGTGGGTGCTGGGAATTGAACCTCCAGGAATTCTTTTTTTTTTAAGATTTTATTTATTAATTATGTATACAACATTCTGCTTTCATGGATATCTGCACACCAGAAGATGGCACCAGCTCTCATAACGGATGGTTGTGAGCCACCATGTGGTTGCTGGGAATTGAACTCAGGACCTCTGGAAGAGCAGTCAGTGCTCTTAACCTCTGAGTCCTCTCTCCAGCCCCCTCCAAGAATTCTTAAGCACTGTGCCATCTCTCCAGTCCCCTTTCTGTGTGTGTATATGTGTGTTAGATAGGAATCTCACTAGTAGTGAGTAGTAGTCCTTGGCTGGTCTGAAATTTGCTAGGTAGACCAGGCTAGCCTGAAACTTTCAGAAATACACCTGCCTCTGACTCCCCAGGCTACTGATAAGGAAAGCATGTCTCGCCATGCCCAGCCTGTGCATACTTTTTGTTTTTTAACATTTATTTTATGTATATGAGTGACCTGTCTTCAGGCACACCACAAGAGGGAATCAGATCCCATTACAGATGGTTGTGAGCCACCATGTGGTTGCTGGGAATTGAATTCAGAACCTCTGGAAGACCAGCTACTGCTCTTAACGCTGAGCCATTTCTCCAACCCTTTCTGCATTTTTTTTAAACATTTATTTATTATTTATTTTATGCTGTGTGTACTCTTTTTTTTTTTTCCGGTTTTTCGGGACAGGGTTTTTCTGTGTAGCTTTGGGGCCTTTCCTGGCAGTCACTCTGGAGATCAGGCTGGCCTCGAACTCACAGAGATCCTCCTGCCTCTGCCTCCCGAGTGCTGGGATTAAAGCCGTGTGCCACCAACGCCCGGCTGCTGTGTGTACTCTTAAAAGTTTATTTTTCTAGGTATTCTGGTCCATGACTTTAATTCCAGCTCTCAGATGGCAGAAGCAGGTGAATTTCTGTAAGTTCAAGGTCAGTCTGGTCTACACAGTGAGTTCCAAGATAGCTAGGACTACATAATGAAACCCTGTCTCATACCTTCCCCAAGTTTACTTATGTGTGTGTGTGTTTGTGTGAGTGTGTGCATGCATGTGCAGATGTGCCATGTTGATTACTGGAAGGTGCAGGCAGGAGGATCAGGGGTTCAAGACTAGCCCCAGCTACAGAGTGAGATTCAACTGTTTTTTAAGTGGCACACGCCTTTAATCCCAGTATTTGGAAGCAGAGGCAGGTGGATCTCTATGAGTTTGTGGCCAGCCTGGTCTACATAGTCTGTTCAGGACAACCAGAACTATATAAAGAGACTGTCTGCCTCATTTTTTGTATCTATTACATTCTCCTACAGTTGGGTCTTCACTTCAGGTGTCCAACAGATTCTACTAGCAAGCTTGTCCAAATTTTCATAGTGGGCATTTTCTAATTCTGCCCCATCCCTCTTTTAAAACATGAGAGAGGATCTCACTGTGTAGCTCTGGCTGGCCTGGGACTCACTCTGTAAACCAGGCTGGCATAGAATTCACCTGCCTTTGACACCCAAATCCTGTGTTAAATGTTTGGTATAGCATCCCTGGCTTCCAGGACCTTTCTTGAAGCAGAACCACACTTTGTATTCCTGGTTGGTCTTGAATTCTTGTTTGTTTCCTGGTTTTTGTTTGTTTGTTTTTGTTGTTGTTTTTTCTCAAGACCATGTTTCTCTGTGTAGCTCTGGCTATCCTGGAACTC